TATGGAAATGATAATCCACGCTTTGTAGGGGTCAAGACACAAGGCTTGACAAATAGCGAGCAATATGAAGTAGCTATCACAATAGATTATGTTGGGATTTCAGAATCCTGATATGTCATAGTTAAAAGGGCAATTATATATTCAACATTGGTGGGATGTACTTACAGACATAGATCACAAACAGATTTTACAGGAATCACAGTTGATTGAGATTAATTCTCACTGATTTCTTGGTCAACTATTGCCTAGAAACAGGTCAGCCAGAGAGCACGACACTGCCTATTTTTTGTCACAATTTTCATACAGAATAGTATTTCATAGAATTCAGTTGTGTTGCTTGTTCAAATCTAATACCGCCCAACTCCTGCGTCCCGAGAAGTAGGATGCTGGTTGCAGGGGAAACATGGTAGGCCAGTGATGCAATTGTGTCACTGTCTCTACCCAAAGAGTGCAGACCCTTACGCACATATCCTCTCTTTTTGGGAGGAAGTGACTCGCAGTTGTCACTTCCTCCAAGGCTGCCGAAAAGCAAAAGGCCTGGTCCTGCTGTTAAAGGGCCACAGTGCCCAACTGGAGCCTCTGTTGATGCAAGCCTAATGACCTTGTTGACCTCTTTGCTCATATTAGTTTACACTAGTAGGATTTTAGATCATTTTATTTCACAGTTATCGCCATGTAAACCATTATTAAAAATCATTTAAACTCTTGCCCTGCAATAATTATACAGCCTGGACCCAGTAATATTGTTCTGCTAAGTGCATGGACCACCCAGTGGGCCTCCTTACTGTGCAGGCCCCCGTTTTCCAATTTTGCAACAAACTAGGTAGAAAATCCATCTCAATGCCAGAATGGCAGTCAGATCTCTCGTTGGTACTGGTCCGATCGCAATTCAATAATCAAAGATATTTTCCTCAAAACAAAACTTAAATAGGGACATGATAAAACTTCTATTACACATTCATACAGAAATAGTTCCCTAATTAAGTAGATGATAAAATACATGGAGAGATACTTGCAAAAACATAATATTCGTAATTAAGTAATTAACGTAATGATAAAACTTCTAATCCACATTCATACAGAAATACCTCCCTAATTAAGTAGATGATAAAATACGTGGAGAAATACTTGCAAAAACATAATATTCAGGGATATAATTTTTAATTTGTGGGGTAATGTAATAAATGTATTTTAAAAAGCACAAAAATAGTTTAAAGAAAAAACACTGCAATTTGTGTTATATGGTACAGTACTTCTTGACATAATCTCCTCAGTGCATTCACAACTGTTTGAGTCTAATTAGCATGACTGCTCTTCCTCAGTTTACTGACCTATCCTAGGATGCATTTTTCTCCCTTACTCGGATTTGTCAAAGTATTAGTTAACTTTCCTACTGTGATATTTGTAATAGGCCTTACACTTTTATTAAAACATATTGTTGATTAACATTAGGTGACTGCTATTTAATTATGTATACATGACCGGTTGAGTGTTTGAATTTTTACGGTTTACAATTCACACATCAGTCAGAGTCTGTGTCACGAAATATGATATTGTTACATATAACTAGATAAAAGATGAAAAGATTGAAAGCAATTGGCCATATTTTTAAAGATCGATTGTAGAGGTAATACATTTGGAATTATACGTACAGTCTATTGCTTGCCTTGAGATTGATTCAGATTTTACATTCAAAGATTTTCCTCTGTAAATATGGACCAATTTTTGTTCCTAAAAATACACCGCACAATTCATTTCATAGCAAGAACCTGATATTAGTGAACAATATATCTTCCTTGCATTTCCTAGAAAATATTTTTACCATGTCATTTTCCATTAAACACCATCCGGCGATTGATGGAATTAAGAGAGGGGTCAGTAGAATTGGAGTGGAGGAATGTCACAGATCGTTAGATCAAGGACATTCAATGTGGTTTGAATGATTTTATGACAATGGATATCAAGGGTCTTAGATTGTTGGGAGGTATCCATTTATTTCTGCATCACCCACCAATCTCTACCTTTCTCCTTAGCATATTACTGTGTATCAATTCAATCTCATGTCTTGCCCTTAGCTAAATATTTGCAGTTTTAGTTCCTAAAGTTCCACATCTGATATGTTTTCAGTATTGATTTCTGGTGTCCTGGACATGGCTAGATTACTGGTTTATGCTTTGCTTGCATGTAGGCTTTTTTACCTTTTTAGATAGGCTTCCTTAATGTGACCCTAACATTTATAATATGTTTTTCTGTCCCTGTCTTTCATTTTTATGTTTCTGACCAACTAGATGATTTTTACCCTTTTAGATATCGATATCATTCCAGGGAACTACACGTTTGATTCAATGCTTAGGTTAGGTTACAGTTAGGTATATGAGATCTTTAGTTTAAATTTATATTTTTATTGTGATTCGAGCAGATACCAAGTAAATATTGTTGCCAGCAAGCTATTCAACAATAAACAGTTACTTATCATAGTTAACGTAAGCTAAACTGGCACATTAAGAACATCTTGTTTTATAAGTGAAATGGAGAAACGCCAGATGCGCGTAAAGATCTATCATCAATAGAAACACTAGTTGTGAGAATAAACGTGAACAGTAAGAGAAATTAAAACAGAAAGAATGCTTGAGGCACAGAACAAAAAAACATTAAACAACATTAATTCTAAGCACATCCGAGATTGTTTGACCACTGACAACAACTGGAATAGAATGAGAAATAATTTGCTTTATAGAAAACATTCTTTTACCTTGTAAGTATAGCTAAAATGTAGCTTTAAAGGTAAGTATAGCTAAAATGTAGCTTTAAAGGTAAGTATAGCTATTAAGTAAATGCTGGCTAAGCCTTATACTCTTGCTGTGTAAAAACATGTGAGCATATAACCCCACTCACATCATGACAAATCAGCTAATTCCCAGTCTACACAGGAAGGACAGTGTCGCATAGCACCATGATAAAGTATTTGCCTCATAGTCACAAAGCTTTAGATGGTCTATCAACTGAGCCATCTTGCTAGCACCTTCATTGCACCAGCTTCTCATGATTACCACGCTAATCTGAACCTGCACTGCTGCAGATGGTACAGAGAGCGCTCTCCTGGTCAATAAATGTGGTAAAGGATTGGTTCCACAACCTGCTTGAGATCTGTGTATTCTCAGCCTACAGGCCTAAAAATGGGTAAGCCTCATCTAGGCAAAAATAATGTATGTTTAGTTATAGTATATGATCATTGTGGTGGACCACCTGGTACCCCAACAGGGTACCTCTGCCAATCACTGCTTCCTAGTGCTTACCAATTACCACAAGCACCGCACCAGACACCATAACCACCGTCATCCCCACAGCCAGCGTTACAGCTTGGTAGGGGTCTCGCTGTCCTCTACCCAACCTGGACCCAAGACCGGGATCCAGCTTCCAGTGGGTAGACCTCTCCTACTCCAGAGAGTATAGCTGGATAGCTCTTACAAGAGCTAGTGATTATAATCCCAGGGGGTATAAGGAGTATAGCAATCCCCAGATTGAATATAGCTGTTCCCTCCAAGCATGAGACAAGGCTCTATGTTGAGGGTGAAGGAGAACTGGTTTAATGGCAGCCACAACTGGCCTTATATGCAGGTCCCCATGCAAGGGGTTTACTATAACATATTCCAGGGGCATTCCCCACTGGACCTGAGAGGGGACTATGGCAAAGTACACACTGTAATTACATTGGCTCTCAAGTCCAGGACACTCCCGCACAAAACAGGGTAATCTCTCCCCTGTGTCTGAGAGATAATTACTTGAGTACACAAACATATAATTAAATTAACTATGTACAAGAAACATGCAATACAACAACACCCCAAAAGTACCCCTAAAACACATGGAAACCCCACATCCCCTGATAGCCCTGATCTGGGGGACCAACATATCCAAAAATCACTCATATTGATTAAGGGGTTCGGGATTTCCATGGAAGTCATTATTTTGACCGACCGTGTCCATGGTCCTATGCCCAAAACAGATCCATGCGATCAGGTACATAAATCACACGAATGGAGACTTTTAAAGGGCATTTGGCAAGGTATATTGCAGGTCTCATAGTCCTGAGGCAGGAGGCTGGCAAGCAGACCCCTCCAAGAACACGTGGCAGAGACATTTCTGCCACAGTCATACATTGCATAAGCCTGCCACAATGAATCTCATAATAATAATAATAATCTCATAAGAATGGGGCAGTGTTCCGTATGCATGTTTAGGTGAGTGCAGGCTTCTTGGTTTCAAATATATATATTTGGGAGTCAAGGCCAACTCCTTAGTTTTTCACCCCTCCCTGTCACAGGTGCTTCATTCAAGGGCCCTGCAAACAGGGCCGTCTTTAGCGCGGGGCAAACGGGGCAGCTGCCCCGGGCCCAGTTGCTCCTGGGGGGGCCCCAGAGCAGCTGCCCCGTGGGCCCCGCGATTTCAGCAGCCCCCATGTACCCGGCGGCCGGCGGTGCAGCCGCACCGGCCCGCCAACTAAGGAGGCCCCCGGGTGGCCCATGCACTAAGGGCCACCCTGTGGGCATGTGGCAGAAGGGGCCCGGTCGGGTGCTGTGACGCTTAAACAGCGCGACCGGGCCCCTTCCTGTACCGGCTGGGAGGAAGTGAGTACCGCGTGTCACTTCCTCCCACCGGAGATAGCCGCGCGGGAGGAGGAAGGCAGGGAGGAGGGGAGTTCCAGAGAAGAACTCCCATCTGCCTCAGCCTGCCACTGGACCCCAGGGAAACCACCCTCCATAAAAAGGTAAGAACCTGGAGGGTGGCTAAATGTATGTTAGTATGTGTGTGTGTTAGTATGTCTGTGTGTGTTAGTATGTCTGTGTGTGTTAGTATGTGTGTGTGTGTTAGTATGTCTGTGTGTGTGTGTTAGTATGTGTGTGTGTGTGTGTTAGTATGTCTGTGTGTGTGTTTTAGTATGTGTGTGTGTTAGTATGTCTGTGTCTGTGTGTGTGTGTTAGTATGTCTGTGTCAGTATGTCTGTTTGTGTATGTATGTCAGTATGTCTGTGTGTGTCTATGACAGACATACTGACATACACACACAGACACACTGACATACACACACAGACACACTGACACATACACACACACAGACATACACACACACTGACATACACATACACACACATACTGACATACACACACAGACATATACACACACAAACATACTGACATACACACACAAACATACTAACACACACAGACATACTGACATACACACACAGACATGCTGACATACACAGACATACTGACATACACACACAGACATACTAACACACACAGACATACTGTGTGTATGTCTGTGTGTTTGTATGTCAGTATGTCTGTGTGTGTATGTCAGTATGTCTCACTGTGTTCCAGTGTGTGTGTGTGTATGTCAGTATGTCTGTGTATGTCAATACGCCTGTCAGTGTATGTGTCTGTGTGTGTCTGTGTCAGTATATCTGTCAGTGTATGTGTCTGTGAGTATGTATGTATGTGTGTGTGTGTATCAGTATGTCTGAATGTGTGTCAATGTTTGCCAGTATATATTTTTGTGTCAGTGTATGTGTGTGTCAGTATGTATCTGCGAATGTTTTAATGTGTCTGTCTGTGTGTGTATGTGTCAGTATGTCTGTCAGTGTGATTGCGGGTTGGGCGTAATGGGGAGGAAGGGTGCAGTGACAGGGCCCAGGGGGCCCAAGAAAAGGCTTTGCCCGGGGTCATATTCATATTATAGACGGCCCTGCCTGCAAAGGGTCCCAAGAGGGAGCATTTCCCAAGTAAGTGGATTAATCTCATAAAAGCAGGTTGCTAGAGTAGGACCTGCCAAACCTGGGGCTCATTGACGTTGTGGCAGGCTTATGCAATGTATGGTTATATACTGTAACTAAACCCCCATTATTTTGCCTAGGTGAGATGTTTTTAAATAAAATTATTACATTCTGTAAGCCTTGAAATTGTGGTTTAGTGAATGAGTGAGTGTGCTAGATTTTGTATGTGTGTATAAATATATATATATATGGAATATACATATATTCTAACTCAATATATATTAAAGGTTATACTCAAATGGGCTTACATTGCATAAAATGGAGGCAGTAGTTTTAATTTAATATACCTAAATAAAACCTTAAGAAAGAAAAGTCCAATACAGTCAACCATTCCAAGTAGCAATATTTGTTGCAATCAATAATTTCTGATTATTTTTTTTTAAATAGATTACAATTTCTAAAACAAAAAAAAAAAATCACATAATATTCTCTGCATTTTTCCTTTCATTTTCATAAAATGCATTAGCACCTTTTATTTATAAATGCACTGTCGTTATACATAAAAGCAATGACAAATTTTAAAATATACTTTTTGCCACACTAAGATAAGGTGAATTTCCTATCCTTATGGAGATTATTGGAAACTGAGGATTTAAGGGTTAGGCCCATGTAGTTAAAAAGAAGAGAAAATCCAATTAACAGGAATCTTTTCAATGATGAAGCTTGACTGATATTGCCATGGAAAGGTTATATTAAAAAAGAGAAAATGCCTTCTCTCACATCCCATTGTTCAATTATACATCAATGAAACAGAAAGAAAAAACACTATATGTGAATGTGTGTTACCATGAAGGATACATTAAGATTTTCTCTGATTGTCCGGCAGTACACGTTATTACCAACATCGATGGCCATCATTTTATCAGCATTGGAGCAGCGAAAGACTTTGCCGACCTGAGAGTAACAAATCCTTTCAACTGGTTTCTGATCATTTATCTGAGCCATCTTTTTTGTTTTTGCAATGAAATACCACTATCTGAAAACATATTTTATATTTACAATATATTATGTTTCTATAATAGTTAGAAAACAAATGAATCAACACTTTCATTTTTATGTGGACCACTTGCCCTGTGTGCCACAAATATTTTTGTTGCTATGTCCAGATATCTTTTGGATGGTCTTTGAGGTCATGGTAAGTATTTCATTAAATATTTTATATTTCATTAATTTTTCTTCATGAATAGGTCAGATACACAAAGACCACTGTGAAGTACATCTTACTAAGGTATACAATTTTATATACAATATGTCAACATATCTTTGCCTTATGTCACCTTTGTAGATTGTGTTTGAGTTGTCACATTCCTCCCTAGTTTGGAATACAACCAGAACTCTCCTATCTCATAGAATCAGTTTGATTCTCTAACTAGAGCTTCAGAATGTGTTGTATATATAAATATATAAATGTAATTCACTTAAAAAATAAAGGATAATGAGAAGTAATTAGACTCTATCATGGACATAATCCCTAAACTTAATGAACAAACAGAAGCCAGAGAAACAAATAGGCATGGTACCAATAAGTATATTGTATTAAAGAATACACCAAGTGGAGACCATAAAGTGCAGATACAAACATACAAAGTGAAGAACTAAATAAAACGGACTAATTACAGTTCAGTAAAACTAACATACTCAAAAACATTATTGCATTTACTAACTGCAACAAATGTTGCTATGATAGGGTGTAACTTCTCTAATAGAGCGCAATTCTGAAACAATGTATACGTAGGGTCTTTTACAGCTCTGTTAACCCACCAGAAAGAAGAGTAGAATTGCTACATAGAAAGGAAGGTTTTTTTTTTTTTTTTTAAATTCTATATGTAATCTCCTAATGTGAAAATGGGAAAACATTCAAAAGCTGTTCAGTGTTAGGTTAGAGCACTAATTAAACTAGTCATTGTAAACTCACAAATTTGCCCTGTGCATGGGGTAATAGTTTAGACACAGCAACCTGATAATTCAGCTCCACAGTCCTATTGTAATGGGTGACTCCCCGAGTGATGCCAACGCGTTTCATTGCAAATATAAACTCATCACTTACTCAGAGTGGAGATTGTGGAGGCAAAACATCAGGGTGCCTATTCAATATGCATAAAGTGGAGTGGCACTTGCTAAACAATTGCTAAACAAGGACCATGCACATGCTGGTAGTGTTAAGGCAAATTTTATTGGAAAACCATACAACGTTTCGGTAGCCTCAAGAGCCAAAACATTGCATGGTTTTGCAATAAAATCTGCCTTAACACCAACTGTATGTACCTGGTCCAACTTTCTTCATGATTATTGGTGCTGTGTCTACTTTCACAAACTTTGGTATATAAACACTATACAGACTGGTTTTTCATATTTTTCGTACTTTTCTTGGGATTGCAGGTTGACGTACATGTAGTTGTTGCTTTTACTTTTTGTACTATTTACTGAAAAAAAGATGGTACACATATACGATTTTTATACTGTTATACTGAATATTGTGACATTATATACTCCAGATATTGTGGACTTTTTAATTGTTATTTTTAATATGAATTAATAAAGGAGGTATATTTATAAAGTTCTTTGGAGTGCAGTACAATTAATTTGTTTGCTTCATTATTTTGCAAGTGAGCAAAGAAGAGTTTTGTTGCAGTACCATATCTATTAGTAGATAGTTACTTTAAAATATCTGTTTTTTTGGGCAGTAGTGTCCCTATATACTAATAATATACAGTATCGTCTTTATTGCTATGCTTCATTTTAAGGACACTGTTCTCACTGTTCACCCTTTCAGGTATAGACAACTGATGAAATGGAACTGAAGAATTTGTATGTGCAATAATAATTTACGCAATACTTCAACAATACATACGAATGCCACAGTGTACCTCGTGGAAATTCTTCAACCATTAACTCCCGTCAGCAGTATATAGATATGTATAAAAAAAGAGAACATCCGTAAACTCATTGGTTTGTTGTGACATTTATCTTATTTTCCAGAAGATGATAAATGTCATTTCAGGCCTAGATGATCAAGTATCAGAGATATGCAATTTAAGTGTATCGTGTACTTTCCAAAAAGTGCATTTCTCCTTTTGTTTACCATTGTCTGTAAAAGTGAATACTTCTGACAAGGGATGTAACTGTGCTGAAGGATATTAAAAAAGGAAATAAAATGACATTTTCCCAAATGTAATAGAGAATACTGGCTCACAGGGGGTGCGTTTTGAGTAGGTGAGTAAGCTCTCCAATGTGCCACTGTTTACCAAACCTCTGTAATTATGTGTCAGATAGACTCTCTGAAGAGTTTATCTATTCACAATTTTTTTATTACAAAAGGTGGCTACTCCGTACTGCTCACTCTTTAAAGAAAATAACTAAGCTATTCAGATTAAAAGGAGTAGATTTTTTTTTTTTTTTTTTTAGCAAGATCTATGCTATGCTGAACCTGGTCACCAATGCAAAATTATGTAATATGTAACCATATCTATTCTTATCTATAGGTAAGATATCTAAATGGAGCCATTTTACAACTCAACTTTTAATCAGTGCCAAAATTGATTTGTACTTGGCTGTTTGCATTGAAAATATCTGTCTTTACAACTGCCGTGATAATACTATCAATATGCAGTAATTTTCAAACACACTGTGCTTTTATGCCAAATACCTTTGAGTGGTATTTAGGTAAGCAAAGTCTAGGTGAGCAAAGTCCAGACACCTTAAAAGAGATGTGCACAAACACAATTAATTGAAGCAACATTGTAAAGAAGAATTGGCCAATATTCCTCCACAATGATGTGAAAGAGATCAAGTCATACAGAAAATGATTACTCCCAGATATTGCTGCTAAAGGTGGTTTTTCAAGCTATTGACTCAAAAGGTGTACTTAGTTTGTCCACTTTATTTTTAAATCATGGAATGATGTAATATGCCATGTGTTTTTCTTCTGTGGTTGTATTTACCTAATGGTAAGACCTACTAAGGAACAAAATTTTGTTATTATGTCCTGTTATGTAAAGCCATAGAATTCAAACAGGATGTATTTTCTATTTTCCATGATTGTACAATGTTTTTGGTATCTGTAGTAATCCCCTTTAGAGGAACACTTCTATTGAAAAAATTAAATGAAATGTAAAAAACTCTATACATATTTTTTATAATTGGACTGATCCTATAATGTTTAGATTACTGGCCCAAAAATGAACTGCAGTTCTGATCCAACTTCTCTAAAGTCCTCAGTACTGATGATTTGTGTCCAATCAGATTTTACACATTGGTGTATGCACTGC